AACAGGATCACCTGCAGCTCAGAGGGGATCTACCCTGAGCCTGAGCTCACCTGGTCCACCAGCCCTCCGTCCAGCGTGACCTTCAAGAACACAACCACAGTCCAGGAGACTGAACAGCAGCTCTACGACATCAGCGGCTCTCTGATACTTTCAGACAGTGGGACTGATGTGGCCTACAGCTGCAACATCAGCACTCGCAGGAACAAGAGGAGAGCCACTTTGAGGCACCCACGTGAGTATTCTGGTCTAATTTGGTCTAATTTGGTGCCTGTTTGAAAGATTCCTCTCTGTTTGTAGCTACAAAACACTAAAAGGTATAAAAAGACATGAAGAATCAAAGGTTATAAATGAAGGTTATATATTACAGTCTGTCAGTCACAATAATTGATTGATTATGTGTCTTTTCTGGGTCAGTTATAACAAGACGTTTATGAGAAAATAGCACAAAATGATCAAAAATGGCAACTTAAATAACATTTCTTTTCAAAAACTAACAACTAATCACTTGCTCATTGAGTAACATGGACATTTGTTCACTGTGTTTTCTGATAAACCGCAAACTAACAAACCTGGCAGTTAATGATTCTCAGTTTTTTAGCAAACAAATATGTCCAATCAGCTCTTATCTGACAGTATGTGTTTCTATATCTGTGGAAATAATTCGGATTCACAGGCGTTTTGATCTTTCTCTGTTTGTGTTGCATCATTTCAGCTCCTATCATTGCCTCCAGCACTGACACAACAATCCCCTGCAGTGTGTCAAACACCTCCCTGATGGTCTTCAGCCTCGTTTGGAGATTCAACCACAGTCAGATCATTCTGAACCAGGCCGGAGCCAACGTCAGCCACTCAGTCTCAGAGGAGTGGAGGCGGCAGGTGAAGGGCGTCTCTGAGTCAGGCGGCCTCATGCTACAGGACTTATCTTGGAAACAGGAGGGGATGTACACCTGTGAACTCAGTAATCCTGAGGAGACATACGTAGCCAACACCTTTCTGAGAATAGAGAAAGGTAAGAGCAAGTCTGTCTGAGTGAAAGCTGCCATTCAAACTATCAGCATATCTCAGGTTTGATATTCGGGCACAGTTTCAACCAGTTTCAGCTCTTAGACTGGGGCAAAAGAAGTCATTTATTTACAACAAAACAATCCAAATACATAGGTGAGAGGACTCTGTAAGGTCAGTAGTGTGGGGAGTGGATGTTATAAAACCAAAGAAAAGGAAACAAAAGATACCAAACAAAAGGTGTGTGGAGGGAGAGGAGAGCTGCTAAAGGACTGGCTGCTGCTCTGGCTTATATCCACGGGGCACACCGAGTCCAGGTGTGCAACATACTGCTGATTAACCTCCGACAGGTCTGCAGCCCTCCACACAGAATCAACTGTCAACTCACCTGGCGCTGCTCTCACAAGCCGTCCCCACACCTCTCTCTCTCTCCTGCAGCTGAGTGTAAACCACAGCCACCTCCACAAGCAGTACAAAGCACACAGAGGGACCCTCACACTATTCCAGTAGATGTAAGTAGGTGGTTGCTAGAGTGCCGTAGGTCTCTGTTAAGGCATTGCCCGAGGGTTGCTTGGGTGTTGGGATGTTTACTGCAGTGTTAATAGGTGGTTGGCTGCAAAGTTGAAGTAGCTGAATGTAGGATTGCTTAACATCAGGAAGATCTAACAGCTGAGGGTGAGGAAACTGTAGATTCTGAGAGATGGACACGTGAACAATGCTACAGTAGTTATCAGTCAGTATGTTGTGGTCTGAGTTGGTTGGTTCAAGTTCATTTAACTGAACTGTCTCTCTCTGTTTCAGTGAGTCGGACTGGTGTTACAGGCATTATTGTAGCTGTGGTGGTTGGAGTCATTGTGGTTGTATTGCTAACAGGACTTATACTGTACTGCAAATCTAAAAGGGTAAGAAAAACACATTCTGCCTTCAGTTGGGATTTATTTAATGTGTACGTTGTTTGCACTGATGATGATGTGTGTTTGACACAGAGAGGAACAAGACCAGAAATGGTACTATGAGAAAACTCCTTGTGGTAAGTATATCTTACATACTGAATACAGAAGCACCTGAATCATTTTACAGTGCACGGCAGGCTGTAATTAATTAAATTAACTAATAATAACTCAAATAAACCCACAAGCAGAGTGTAAAATAATGCAAAACTCATCCAAAAATAAACTGGCTCAGTGGTTTGAACATGAAACGTTTTTCTAACCTAAATAAAAGTTTGTGTTGAGTTCCACTTGGATGTATTTTACCAATAACTTGTGTTCAGTTTTGTTTGCAGGAAAGAAGAAGACATGTATGATAGCAACTACCTCCAAGATCCCCAACAACCTGTGCTGCTCTCAATGTGACTGTATTGGATTAATGTGAGCAAATCCTCAGAAACTCATGTGAGATGGTTAATATATTCTGGTCACTGCGATGTACAAAACTGTGGCAAGCAGCTCTCAGCAACATCAACTAGAACAGCTTGACAATGTGTATATTAATTTAAGCTCATACATTTCCTACATTATTATTGTATATATACAGTAAATGAATTGAATCACTACTGTTCACTAAAGTATTCTGTTTTATTTGTATTTTGTTTTATTCATATATTTTAACTTGTGCACTAATTTAAGTCTTTTGTCTCTTTTATGTTTGTAATTTTCTTTTTAAACATTTTATATGGAATCACTGAAAAACACTAACTTTTGTGCTGATGGTAAGAACTTAAAGTTGATCTTTAATTTTCAGTTTCTTCCCTGTAGAGGGCGCTGCAACACAGTGAAGTGATGCAGTCACTTTACAAGCTGACTGTGAAATTCTGTCACTGCTGAGTTTATATAAACACTTTAAACTTGCTGTAAATATCTGACAGACATTAAATACTTTTTATTCACCTGATCCTTTAATATCTTCCTATAACTTGCACCAGTAAATTCTGCTTCTGCAAACTTCTTGATTTTTCAAAATAAAAAGGATTTCTGTAAATGAAAAAGGAGAAACCATCTTTTTTTCTCAAAATTTAAAGAGTGTTGAAGTCTTATTTTGAGTATTGAGACTGAATTGAAAACAGAATTTGATGCACACATGAATGATACTTAAGGCACTATTATACACTAATGAGTTAGGCACATATTACACATATTATTTCTGCCAACAGATCCTATTATAGTAGTTAGCTTGTTGATAAGTGAAGTAGCCTTTAGTCTGAGAGCCACAGAGTGAATCAGCTGCAGCTCCATCATCACCATCTTCTCCTGTTACTGAGGACGTCATCAGAGAAGTTGAACAACTCAAACTGAGTTATTACTGAACATGACTTCCTGTATTAAGACCAGGGAATCAGTTTGAGAGTGACAGCAGCTTCTAATCCTGTTTTCAGTTTAACTCTGGGGCTTCCCTTTTATTGTTCATGTATGGAATTTGCCTTTAAGGCTCTAAAGTTGAATTCTTCTGTGTTACAACAGACTGGACGAGCACTTGTTGGAAACTGATTCACTTTAATTGTGTGAATAAAACATGATCTTTCTCAGTGTGGGAGTCAGAGTCAGATGGCTTTCCACCTTTGTTTTATGCTCAGAGTCTAATGAAGACGTAAACAGCCAGACTGCAAACTGAGAAACTACAGTAAAGCTTTGATTGAATCCACACTTTGTTCAGGTTTTATCTTATTTCTGTTCCTCACAAGCAAATATTCATCTGTTATAAAATTAGAAAAAGCTGATATTTGTGGTAGGTATTGATTTATTTATTTGAAAATCAGGAGATCAATAAGCAACAGTTGAATCTTCTTCAGTCAGAAATAAAACTCTGGAGAATCCAAAGAAATAATCAACAAATATCCTTCATTTACACCAACATGGAGATAATTCATATTTATAGAAGCTGGATTGTGGAGATTTATATCAACAGAAGTAAGATGTGATTTCAATAAACAGATTTGTGTTTTTGATGCAATAATATAAATATGAGAAAGCAAAACAAATATATACATGCACATAATCTTAATTATTAACAATGACAAGTAAGATTAGTGCTTATTTTATATTTTGCTGATTAATTTTATGTCAGTAGAATAATATAACAAGCTATTAAAATGTTCTGGTGTTCAATGTGTAACCAATGTTCACTGACTTGTCACCAAAATCCAGATATTTCAGTAACTTTAAGTAACTCTGTTCAATATTTTTATAATAACAATGGATCAAATATCAAAATGAAAATTGATGAATATGACCAGACTTTAGAGTTCTTTAGTTCAGTTTCCTGCAATAACACAATCTGTTGGGATATATTAGAAAAACTATTTTAAAAGATAATAAATATATAACATTGCACTAATATTAATGATTCCAAAATATATTGTGGAAATTAATTGCAACTCTCCATCGTTCCACAAGGTGCAACCAAAGAAATCAAATTAAGTAAGTTTCAATCTACGGTTGTGTTGACTTTGTGTCTGACAGTGGAGCTGATCTCAGAGCAGTTCAGACTGCAGCACTGAGAGTCATCTCCACTGGTTGTGATTCCTCTGTCAGTCACTGCTGGATGAAGCTCTCCTCTCCACTCTACCTCCCAGTAACATGGCCCAGTCAGAGCTGATGCTGCTGCTTCAACCTCTCTGGATCATCAGGACACAGCTGATCCTCCAACACAACCTCCCTTCCTCACCACTCACACACTGACTGAGATCACCACCATCTGATGAGAGACGAAGACAGACAACATAAGTCAATAATCAGTGTTTACAGTCTCTCTCTGTCTTTCTGTCCAACCCTGAAGTCTTTCACCATCCTCCTCTCACAGCTTCACTGAGGAAAGCAGCAAATACTGGATCTTTGCTTTGATACTAATTGTGTTTAGTACAATACTGCTGAAACCAGCATGGACTGACTCCAACCCTCTACTGACCCCACAGTCTCCAGACTGTCCAGTCTATAGTGTGGACTCTTCACAAGATCACACAGCAGCTTCACTCCTGAATCCTGCAACGTGTTGAGACTCAGGTCCAGCTCTCTCAGATGGGAGGGGTTGGACTTCAGAGCTGAGACCAGATAATCACAGCTGATCTCTGACAAACTGCAGTCACTCAATCTGAATAAAGAATAAAAGATGTAAGTTTAGAAGACAATGTTCCTGCTTGAAATCATTCAGTGTTTAATAATCTGTTCAGAGCTGAAGAAGGTTTAGAATGTACAAGTTTAGAAAATGTGAACAAAAGACATTTATTTTAGAAATAGTGGACTCGAAAAATCTAAGCATCTTCAGTTTAAACTATTCAGTCAGTATAAACATCATATAGCTTCATAAAAATGTTGGAAACAGCAAATATTGAATATATTTGTTATTGTCTGATGGTTGAAATAGAGATTATTTATTTATTTTTATAATGTTAAATAATAAAAACATGATGTGGACTATAAGATGAAAATCAAGAGTTTAAGAGGTTCAGAGTGAATTATCCAGTGTAGATTTTTCTTGTTATATTCAGGTTTTAAATGTGGAGCTCAACATTGCTCTGCCACAGTCAATGGACTAAACCACTGAAGAAGAAAACAGACTTCAGCATTAAGAGACTCAGTGTGGATCAGTATAATATCATCCTTATGTCTGCACTTTACTGTCAGCACAACTTTCACATCATATTAATCTCAGCACAGAAGGAAAAAATGGTGGCTGACCCCAGAGTCTTCAGTCTACAGTGTGGACTCTCCAGGAAACCACACAGCAGCTTCACTCCTGAATCCTGCAGCTTGTTGTCACTCAGGTCCAGCTCTCTCAGATGGGAGGGGTTGGACTTCAGAGCTGAGACCAGATAATAACAGCTGATCTTTGACAAACTGCAGCCCCACAATCTGAATAAAGAATAAATGATGAAGATAAAAACCCATTCATAATCCAATCAGATGTGTTCAGGTTTTTTTAATATTTGTATTATTTTACACCAGTATTGTGGACAATAAACAGGGACATATCTAGAATATCAGAATGAACTGGTCCCTGATTTGACAGACAGAACACATAAACCAGATCAAAAACACAAACCCACCTTCGCTTCCATCAACCCCGCCCACACACATTCCCACATTGCTCACACAACCATGGAGTGGGATCAGGAATTTAAATTACCTCTGTAATCTGTGATGAGTAATTGTGTGATCAGATGCCGTCACCCATTAATTCATAGTAGGCCTATAATGAGTTGCTGTGACATTTGTTCTGTGGTTATTGATAATAAACTACTTTGTGTTGAAATGTTACTGTAGGCTGGCTAAAACTATTTCAGTTGTTTGACAGTCGGAGACAGCCGGCTGTGGTGGTTTGAGCTGTTAGATTTGCGTTGATAGATTTAGCACTTGGTCTGCTGTCTGTGGTTCTGATCACAGGCTGCAGGTTTGCAATAGTGTGGAGTTGGTGTGTGTCTATATGTGTACAATACTTGCACCAGGCCGATCACACATACGTTGCATAAAAAAAAACAGCTGTTGTGATTTGTGCTCAGACAAACCCAGAAAACAAGAGAACTGAAGGAAACTTAAAGCTTCTGTTACACATTTAAATTTGGTAGATATACACTGTACAAGAGCAAAATACATGAACTGACCTCAGAGTCTCCAGTCTACAGTTTTTACTCTCCAGTCCAGCACACAACAGCTTCACTCCTGAATCCTGCAGGTTGTTGTTACTCAGGTCCAGATCTCTCAGATGGGAGGGGTTGGACTTCAGAGCTGAGGCCACAACTTCACAGTGAGTCTCTGAGAGTCCACATGAGGAAAGTCTGTGATGAATATAAATTTAAGTATAATAAAATCCGACATTTTATTATAACAATTTATTTTGTGCATTTTGCATCACAAAGCACATTAACATGAGCGGCTGTAGCTCAGCTGGTCAGTCATTGATCACAAGGTCTGTGGTTTGAAACTTGAGCTCCTCCTGTCCACAAGTGCTGTGATTTGTGTTTGTTAAACTTTATTTTAACATGATGTTCAATGAGCTGTATAATCACTATAGGTTGTAACTGCACTCATATGTATTTACTTCAGTCATGTGCTTCTTGTTTGTAATTTGTGCAACCATCTAGGGTTGCAGCTGTATATCAATACCATGGTGGTATGAAAATCATACTATGTACATTTGTTTATCTACAGTGTTGAATTCTGTTGTATTTGTGTTATTAAAAATATTTCATACATTATATTTTGTGAAATTACAATAAAGCATTCAAGCAAAAACAAACCAACAAAAAGAACACATATTTCTGTTTTCACTACTGTAACTGAAAATTAATAACTGTGTAATACTGTATACCTTTAAACTGTGATATTTTCTGAGATGGTTATTGTACCGTGAAAATCTCACTAATGCAGCCCCAGATGCATCTTATTATATTGCTCCAGCTGCTTTTCGTCTTCCATTAAATTGATTTAATGACTCCTATTGCTTTAATAGTATAATAAACATTTTCCACAGGAGCCATTTTGATATGAAACAGGAGGGTAAACACAGGTGTTACCAATGACACTAATTAAGGTTCTGTTACATTCAGGTCAAACACAGTCAGGGTGCTGCAACTGTGCATCATGGCTCACTGGAAAGGCTCTGCTACACTAAATGAACCTTCATTAGTAAAGAAGCTCTCTCCCTTTCCCTCTCGCTCTGTAGTGGTATTTGAATGGACTCTTCTGTAAACTGGTTTATAAATCAAAATGATTTAGAATGAAAAACAGTTTGTTAAGAACTAAACAATATAATCTTTACTCTAATACTGATGGCTTCAACTTTACATTGATTTATAATTTTAATCACATCTGGACTTACACAGCCTTTCTGCAGTTTCTCACAGCTGGAATCAGTCTCAGTCGTCCCTGGTCTGATGTGTTGTAATTCTTCAGGTTCAACTCATCCAGAACCTCCTCTGACATCTGCAGCATGTAGGCCAGAGCTGAGCAGTGGATCTCAGAGAGTTTCTTCTTTGATCTGTTCTCTGACTTCAGGAACTCTTGGATCTCCTGATGGACTGAGCGGTCGTTCATCTCCATCAGACAGTGGAAGATGTTGATGCTTCTGTCAGGAGAGATATCATCACTGTTCATCTCCTTCAGGTTGTTAATGACTCTCTGGATGATTTCTGGACTGTTGTCTGTCTGACCCAGCAGGCCTCCTAAGAGTCTCTGGTTGGACTCAGAGAGAGGCCATGAAGGAAGCGAACAAACAGGTCCAGGTGGCCATTTTTACTTTTGAGGGATTTCTCCATGGCTTTCCCCAAAAATATCTTCAGGCTATCATCATTCCGAAAAATCTTTGAAACCTTCTTATATAGAGTCTTTGGTTTTGAGTCCCTGCTGTAGGTTTTCCACAGGAAATCCTCCAGTACCTTTATGTTCCTGTTGGTGTAACAGTGGAACACGTAGACTGCAGCCAGAAACTCCTGAATGCTCAGATGCACAAAGCAGTAGACTGTTTTCTGGAAGATCACACTCTCTCTTTTGAAGATTTCTGTACAAACTCCTGAGTACACCGAGGCCTCTGTGACATCAAGACCACACTGCTCCAGGTCTTCTTGGTAGAACATGATGTTTCCTTTCACCAGCTGTTCAAACGCCAGCCTCCCCAGCTTCAGAAGAACTTCCCTGTCAGCCTCCATCAGCTCCTGTGGACTCTTGTCATGTCCCTCATCATACTTCTGCTTCTTCCTCTTTGTCTGAACCAGCAGGAAGTGTGAGTACATTTCAGTGAGGGTCTTGGGCAGCTCTCCTCTCTGGTCTGTAGTCAACATGTGGTCCAGAACTGTAGCAGAGATCCAGCAAAAGACTGGGATTAGACACATGATGTGGAGGCTCCTGGAGGTCTTGATGTGTGAGATGATTCTGTTGGACAGATCTTCATCACTGACTCTCCTCCTGAAGTACTCCTCCTTCTGGGCGTCAGTGAAGCCTCGTACTTCTGTTACCCTGTCAACACATTCAGGAGGGATCTGATTGTCTGCTGCAGGTCTGGAAGTTATCCAGACGAGAGCCGAGGGAACCAGATTCCCCTTGATGAGGTTCGTCAACAGCACGTTGACTGAAGACTTCTGTGTGACATCAGACACAACCTCATTGTTGTGGAAATCCAGTGAAAGTCTGCTTTCATCCAAGCCGTCAAAGATGAACAAAAGTTTACAGACAGCGAGCTGCTCTGCTGTGACCTTCTGTAATGTTGGATGGAAAACATGGAGCAGCGTGAGAAGACTGTACTTCTCATCTTTGATCAGGTTCAGCTCCCTGAACGAAAGCAGAACCACCAGACTGACATCTTGGTTCTCCAAGTCCTCTGCCCAGTCCAGAGTGAACTTCTGCACTGAGAAGGTTTTTCCAACGCCAGCGACACCGTTCGTCAGAACCACTCTGATGTGTCTCTGTTGGTCAGGTAAGGCTTTAAAAATCTCGTGGCACTTGATTGGAGTGTCATGGAGGGTCTCCATCTTGGAAGCTTTCTCAAGCTGCCTCACCTCATGTTGGGTATTAACCTCTTCACGCTGATCCTCTGTGATGTAGAGCTCAGTGTAGATCCTGTTGAGGACGGTTCCACTTCCTGTTTCATCAGTTCCTTCAGTCACATGTTTACATCTCGTCTTCAGACTGATCTTATGTTCATCTAAAACCTCCTGCAGACCACCACTCACTAAAAAGAGAAAAGATTATTTTCATTACTAATAAAAAGATCAATATACAAATATAAACAAAAGTAAAAATTATAAAGTCCAGTTTTGAGGGAACATCAGAAAATGTTATTCTTTCTCTGACTGTGTGTCGGTGTACGTGTTTGATTGACAGCAGAGGCAACAGGCTGAGCCTCAGCAGCTCATTATCTAAACTAGCCCTGCACAATATGAGGAATATCCGCGATGTGCAATAACACTGTGTCAATATCACCATAACGATATGACTTGCGATAAAAACAAACATTAAAGAGTTCATATTAGCTATGCAGTTCCTATGTCAGTCTGTTTTTTTAAAATTAAGAATGGAATAAGAATGTTATATTTTAAATAAAACTACATGTTGTTTTCTAGAGCAGCAACTGTAATGTTTACAACAGTACATTCACTA